AGGATAAGATTGTACTATTACGATGGTATATGCTCTATTACATGAGCCTCATCATGTACATTTTACTCTACTACCAATTACTCAACCAAATAGTACGCAATACTTTCATGTGTATGCTAGCCTATCACCCACGCCCGCAAAATTTACCGATACGACCAGATTACCAACTTAATCATCAGGTCAACCTCTCGCGCTCACACGATGAGGGACCACCACAATACTTCTACTACCAAATTTCGACCTGTCCAAATATCTAACCGCCTTAGCAACGTCTGCTAAGCTCTTAAACCTTACATGTCCAATACCCATGTACTTCCCATTTGCCTCTAATACCTCCACAAAACCAAACAAACCAAACTCCCTAAACCTATCCTTAAGCCTTTGCCAGTTAACATTGATTGGCAAATTCCTAATAGTAACTGTATAGCGATCCGGCATTAACTTATACCTACGGCGACCTTCCAAATCGCGACGACCCTCTAGTCATCTATGTCTAGATCGCTGGTCTTGGTCATTGCCAATATCATTGGGATTTACATTCTCAACATTAGTCTTATTATTTTGGGCAACAAATTCATTAGGGCACTCAGCTGCGTTATGACCCTGCTCCCCACAACTGAAACAAACAATTACCTTTCTTTTAACCACTGGACTCTGCTTAATCACAGGCTCACAACATGCTGCTGCCACATACACAGTTTCTTCTTTACTAATTGATACATTCGAATCAGCTACCTTAAAACCTTCGATTACCTCCAGCATGTTCTCTACCGTACTCTGTTTAAGACAAGCAAAAATGACATCAACAAAAGCGCGTTCCTAGAAACCAAAACTCGCAATCTCTTATGGTACACAAAGGAAAACACCAAAAGAAAATGCGCATGACATTTACCACCATGGATCTAAATAGAGGATTCTAGCAAATAAAAATGGAAGAAATGTCTAAATAATACACAGCTTTCAAATGTATTTTACCTGGGTGTGAAGGAATATATGTATGGGACGTCATGCCATTTGGGTTAGTTAACAGCACAGCCACTTTTCAAAAATGTATGAGTAAACTATTATCAGGCATAGACAATGTAATTTCATATGTGGATGACATTTATGTTTTTACTGAGTCAGAAAAGGAACATCTAGACACACTTGAACAAATATTTGCTCGTCTAAAACAACATAAGATGACGATTGCTTCCAATAAATTAAATCTTGTAAAGGATGAAATTCAATTTTTAGGCTACAACATTACTAACAATAGAATAACTCCTACCAAAGCAAACATAAGTAAAATAAGAAACATTTAGGAACCTAAAACAAAAAAGGATGTCAGAGCACTATTAGGCCTGTGCAACTTTTATAGAAAATTCATACCCAACTATGCCCAACTAATTCAGCCCTTAGTAGAATTTACTAAGAAGAAACACTCAAATATAATAAACTTAGATGATAGCAGCAGAGAGGCACTAACTAGACTAAAGGATAAGTTTAATGAGAAACTAGAATTAGGGAGTATTGATCCTATTTCACAACTCCTACTGTACACTGATGCATCTAATAATGGTATAGGAGCATGCCTACTGCAACAGAAAGAGTCATATCTAAAACCTATAGTTCATATAAGTAGAACATTATCTAAAGCAGAAAAAAAAAATTCAATAATAGAAAAAGAACTATTAGCTATAGTATGGAGCATAGTCAAACTGAAACACTATTTACTAGGAAGATTCTTTATAATTAAATGTGACCATAAACCATTGTTAGCACTTAAGAGAAAAGAACTAAAGAATAACAGAATAAATACATGGTCACTAATTTTATCTGATTACAAGTTTGACCTACAAAGTATACCTGGTCATGAAAATGTATTAGCTGATTTTTGTCAAGACAGGTAGATCATGAAACAGATACAAATGAGGACAATGATATTGTACATATCAGTCAAAGTATTTTAACTGAGTAACAATACAATTAGAAACAACTTGACATTTTTCAATCAGGTCAAGCTGACATTTTTTCTTGTTATCATGCAACTAGGTCATGACATATTTTTGTACACTTACTGGTATCATTTTATTGGGTCATGATAACATTTTTTTTTCATTGATGCTATTGTACTATCATTTTTTAATCAATTGTACATTACATATTTACTTATCATAATTTGAGAATAACATAGTATTAGTAAACATGCACAGTAATGTAAACAAGCCTATTGTAAACATCAGTAAACTACTTGAACTGTTGACCTGAATTTTTTTTTTTTCATTGAAAAACAACTCACAAATGTAAATATATTATTGATTTTTTTCCAAGTGGTACACACTTGAATGCTATCATTTTTTATGCCATTGTACTTTAAATACCACATATGTGTGCTATTAATAACAATTATAGACACTGTAACCTTGTATAATGGTGACAGAACTTAGAGTGATATAATGAATGCTGAACACAAATATACTTGTATAGATGTATGTAAACTTTATTGGGAACTACTTCAATAAATGCCCTTAGTGTGTCAGATGATACACATTGGGTGTGTTAAATCATATAAATAATTGGATGTAAAATAACTTTAATTTTTTTTTCTTCTCTTAATTGAGATGTCAATGTATGTTGACAGAATGAGCACATAGCAATTAAACATGCTCATGTAAAATATTTCAGTATAATTGTAAATAGATGATACATATATTATTATTTAACTATATTTCGTCGTCAGTCCCCGACCAGGAAAAATCTCGTGCTGACTGCACGGAATAGTTCAGTGACAACTAGTCAACAAATATTACAGGGGTTCTAAAACTGATATATGACATACGCCCCTTCCCATGGAAAGCACATAGGATAGTAATATCCTATACATATGTCTAGTAGCTTAATCACTCATATCATTCATTTCAAACATGAATAGCTACACTTATTAATTGACAAATATATTGTTCAACTCTTAAAGTGTTTAATTAGAAAAATATACATTAGTCTGATTACCTCCACCATACAAGTATGTTATTGAAAAAATATCAATACAATTTGAGGCTTTATTCTCCTGAAATCAACTGAGGTGTCCACCTCGTGGTCAGTCCCCGACCAGGAAAAATCTCGTGCTGACTGCACGGAATAGTTCAGTAATTGCAACATGGCGGAACTGCGTTTGAGTTTTGAAGAGAAGAAGCAGATAATTAAGTGGTACTGGAAGTTTGAGAATGTTGCTGCGGTTCGAAGACACTGGAGACGTGAGTATGGTACAGAACCATCTTCAAGGTTAACAATGACACGTCTACGAGACAAATTCGAAATATATGTAACAGTGTGTGATGTGCATAAAGGTCGATCAGGGCGACCTCGTACAGCTACAAGTGATGAGTCCACAACTGCGGTCTTGGAACTGTTTCAGCGTTCACCTAAAAAATCGTCAAGGTAAGTGGCATGTGAGAGTGATGTAAGTGCTAGTAGTGTGCTACGCATTCTGAGGAATGAGATTCAGGCGGTGTGCGCAGAAATCTCAGTGGACACTTTGGTACTATGTACGGAAACGTATTGATGCTGTAGACTAACCACTTTGGACATTTCTCAAATCAATCACATTTATTTTTTAATTGGACATTAAGCTTACCATGTCCAGAAATTGAGCATTGTAGAACGGGAAATAAATTGTCTATGACAGTTCAAAGTGTGTATACATTTTTTTGACGCACCCTGTATATTGATTTCCGTCACCCACAGGTTGTGACGTAGCAGGTCAGTTTGACGCCAACAAGAACGATTGGTCTCGGCTGTATCCATCGAATGCATGGGACGAGTGTCTTAATATAAATTGGTCGAATACGGTAATTATGATAAAGCATATGTAAAAAAAAATGTCACATCTTATGGCACGCAGACTTACTGACACTTTCTTATGTAGTACTGTTACTATTTTTCCTAACCAGAGAGCTCTGACCGATGTGCCTACACAAGCTGTGAATGTGACAGGCAGTTGGTCGAATGCCTAAAGTTAGCTGGGCCACGGAACCCGAAATACATGCATTACGACAGATCAAAGTGTGTAAGTGTCAGCGCAACAGCAACGCGTACCATTATCACATCTTTATAGCAGCTTGTCAAGACAGCATCACATCTTTATAGCAGCTTGTATAAACAACATCACATCTTTATAGCAGCTTGTCAAGACAACAACACATGTTTATTGCAGCTTGTCAAGACATCACATCTTTATAGCAGTTTGTATAGACAACATCACATCTTTATAACAGCTTGTATAAACAACATCACATCTTTATAGCAGCTTGTCAAGACATCACATCTTTATAACAGCTTGTATAGACAACATCATATCTTTATAGCATCTTGTCAAGACAACATCACATCTTTATAGCAGCTTGTCAAGACATCACATGTTTATAGCAGTTTGTATAGACAACATCACATCTTTATAACAGCTTGTCAAGACATCACATTCTTATAGAAGCTTGTCAAGACAACATCACATCTTTAAAGCAGCTTGTTAGGAAAACATCTCATCTATCTAGCAGCTTGTCAAGACATAGTTCTATGTGGCTCTCATGCTTTTGTATCGCGCGCTGTTGTATGTCTGAGTTCGATGTGTAATCAGTTGTACGGACGGGAAGTATGTGTCAGTCAATTCTTCTTTTGCGGGCAAATATGTTGTACCCCTTTACCCCCCCTACCCAGTCACCTCACTATTTTTGGTTGGAATCCTATTTATTTGCTGGTGGGACGCTTCATTCTGGCTGATACTATTTGACTTGGACTTTTGTCTCATACGCTGTCATATCCAGTTAGCCAGCGAGAGTGTATTCCTCTAACTTTTGGCTGGATAAGGAGGTGGTGGTCGAGGGGTAAAGTTCGAATCTCGGTGAAGGCTGGAAAGAAAAGCGGTTGGTCGTTGTGCTGGCCACATGACACCCTCGTTGACCTTCGGCCATAGAAGCAGATGACATTTACATCATCTGCTTTTCGCAAGGATGGAGAGGATGGGGGGGGGGGCTTGGAGAAATATAGCACTACTTTAGTACTACTATAGTACTACTTTAGTCTTTTATACCAATGACAGTAGTAGACGCATGTGATTGTATATTCTTTTGTATGTGTATGGAGTAGTTTAATTTACATTTATATGTGCATATTTATAAACATAATTTTTATTGAAATATTTTCTAGCAATATTGTTTTGTTTTTTTTATTCGATTGTCTGTTTTTTTTGTCCCTATGGTCTTATCTTTTTCTTTTATTTATCAACAAATTCACTTTATTTAAAAGATATTTATTTGTAAACTTGGGATAGAATAACATTGATTTCCCTCCCCTTATCTGTAAACACCGAAGATGACTATTTACCATATTTTAAACACATTTATGCAAACGGTTGTAGATTTTTAAAAAAACAACAACTTTGTATTCATAAGTTAGTTAAGTTCTGTCAAAGTAACTACCACGAAAGTCTAAATAAAATGCTTTTGTTTTTTTTAAAGAGAAAACATCTATTTAGTATGCATATAAAAGGAACATAATTTAAAACAACAATTAATAAGTAAGTAATCAAAATTATCGCAATTGAAGTACTACCACACCGTATTCCCTAAAAAATTCAACTTTTTTTTTTTTTTAAGGAAATTTTTTTTTTCTTGAGTTTTTGAAAAAAAGATTGACCCTTTACAAAACAATTAGGTCAATTAGATAATCATTATAAGACATTAGTAAGGCCAGGTTTACATCGAACTTCTCCTTAACCTATCCCTTGGTCTGCTGGACCGTTGGGGCACCACACAAGATCTGTCCACCTTCTTTCTCCATTCTTCTATGTCATTTGCCTTTGATAAAATTTCATTCGGATATTCTTTATGAAAATATTGAAACCTGCCTTTTTACCTGACTGGGTGGACCACTTCTGATAGTATTTCATTCTGATATTCTTTTTGAAAATATTGAAATCTGCTTTTTTTTACCTGCCTGGGTGGACCACTTCGGGGGCCGATTTTAAGTTTGTGTTTCCACACAAACTGTTTTTGTAACCTTGTTAGTTTTTACTCTTAGTCCGGTCTAGAAAGTATGTACAAATTTATGTTAAAAACTTTGTTTAATTTTTTTTAATGCTTAAGAAGAAAATTTAGTTGTGCACAATTTTAATATTGGCTTTTGTTCTTAGCAAACCTTAGCCTATATTATATCAATGAATAAATTGACACCATGGCTTGGAATTGCCTCGTTTCAGACTTCTAGGCCTAAAAAAAAACAAGGAGTTCCTGTTTCGAATCCCTGGTGAAAACTGGGGTTTTTTTATTTCTGAATCTTTAAGGCGCCTTTCAGTCCACCCAGCTCTAATGGGTACCTGACATAAGTTCAAGTGAAGATATAGGCTCGGTGGAAAATTAAAGGCGGTTGGTCGTTTGTTCTGGCCACATGACACCCTCATTAACCGTGGTCCATAGAAACATATTATCTGCTCCATAGATCGCAAGTCTGAAAATAGAATTTACCTGAGTAAACTTATTCAAATAAAGCAAACTTGTTTAAAGATATTCAATCTACTCATCAAGTGGTTTTTTTTTTTAAAGGGATTTCATTATGCCATAGAATTTAGTGTTACATATTACAATGAATAGTGTAAATGAACATGAACTATATACAATTTCTCAATAAAGAAAATATCAATAAATCAACAAACTGGAAAGACGCACTCACGCAGCATTTACACAACAAATACATAACACCTAAAGCACGAGAAGTGGCTTACAGATTACTCTTCGGAATGACCCCAATAAAAGGAAGGCTCTCCAATTCAACAGGGTCCAAGTATACCTGTGAAATTTGAAAAAAAAAGAAAATCCAAACCCAGAAAAACACTTGTTTCCCATGATTTTGTAAAGCTGCAAGGTAACAGAGGTTTGAATTCAGAGTTTTCCTTCTCCTAAGTGGGTAGCAAGCCATAGCTAACGAGCCCCTCCTGCCCGAAGCTTACTGGTTAAGGCGCCAGTTACTCGCCTTTGCCCCTTCTGCTGTTAGTGAAAACAGTTCCGCCGGACTCAATATCTGAGCCACACTGTGATGGCCAGGAGTTGGACTGGTTGTCAGAGGCTATTTGAGACGCATGCCATTAGGAAGTATTTTATAGATAGTGTAGTGCTTACATCCATTACCACTTCCGGCAATGACAACCTATACATATATGTGGGTGTGTATATGTGTATGCGTGTGTATAGATATATAATCCAAATGATCCTTTTTATATATTTAAAGACCCTTTTTTTTTCTTTTTTTAAAAATTGTAACCATATAGTTAAAAAAAATGCTAGTACCCCAAATATAAAAAAAAGCAGTGATCACCCCTTGAAATTGACCAAGGTTAAGACAACTCAAAGACAGTACCCAAACACGAAGGCCACGCCTTGACTTTGTGACTGTAGAGTCTTAAACCAAACTTTTGATCCACAAAATACTCTGAAAGACACAAAGATAAAGGCACATTCCTCGTCCCATATGCTAGGACAAATTTGTAAAAATACTCCTTCTTTCCTAGCGCTATTAGAGCATGGAATGGGTTGCCTGAGCTAGCCAGGAAAACCAGTGACTTGGCAGAATTAAAGTCATTGGTTAATATGCATGACTAAATGCATGACGCGTAGGACGTAATCATCTTCTTTTTTTAAGTAACGTCTGTATTTAATAAGATAAGATAAGGACGAGCGAGTTTGGCAGACGAGAGATCTCATGTGATTAAAACAGAAAATCGTACAGAAGTGGAACATTGGGCCGGCAAGTCAAGGGACGGAAGCGCTATAAGAAATCAGGAGTGAACACGTGAAAACCCAAGAAAGGAGAACGAAGAGAAACTCAAAGAAATCAAGAACAGAGGCAGACTTTTATTGTTTATGTAAACACTTTTTTTTTTCTTCTGTTGTTCTCGCATTGAAAATCAAGCACGACCTCAAGGTATCGAAACAAACAATTTTTGTATAAAGTTGTACTTTTTAATAACTGTGTCCATAGTTGTTGCTTAACGAACGTTGCAAAAATAAATTATCTGTATTGTGATTACTTGAGCAGTATACAAACAAATATAGTTTAAATATATTGAGCATCATCATAACCTTTTATATTTCAACAAACTTTTGCATGAAATTTCTTTTTTTTTTTTTAACTAGGTTTTTCTAAATCTTTTTTAACATGCATGTTATTGCTTTACTAATGTTACAACAGGGAGTCAACCCTGAGGAAAAATCAGGAGCTGGCGACCGTAAGGCAGTTTGCAGTACCCAGTGCTACACTCTGGCAGAACCTGCGACCCGCTGACCCCAAACTGTATCGGCTCTGCCGTTCCTTTGGATACATCAGCTACGTGGAGAGGGAGGGGGGGGGGGACTGATGTGTGGGCGACTTTGTTCCGACCACAGCTATTGCCCAGGCATTCATCTCATTTCCATGAGATGATCCATAGTCGCTTCGTGACTGAAGGAGGCCATAGATAGAATGTGACAACAATACTTCTCTACCACCATTGTCAATATTGTGCATGCTTGTGCAGTCTACAGACTGATTATAATATACTAAAGAGGGGAAGCGAAAAAAAAAAAAGAAAGAAAGGGGGGAAAAATACATTTCTGTACGACTAAAAGACAGCCACAGAGAACTTCCGAGATACTGACTCTAGCAGACATGATTTCCACCTTGATGATGAGGAAGTAGTTTTCCGAATCTCAAGGGAGGAAATCAAAAATTGTCATATGAAGGGAGACAATAGAAGAAACAATATAAATGTTGAAATGCCTATCTACGTGTATGTATATATATATATATGTATGTTTACACACATTTCATAAAAGATAATATAAAGAACTGGGGGTAACGTGCAAAACACAAGGGGAACAAACCTAAGCAAATGGAGACCAAGTGGAGAAAAATGCGTGACTAAGAGATTTAAAATGTTTTAATATCATTTAATGTTATACTTTCACCTTTCGATTGTGCTATTGAATTATCTATTGTTGACATTCTCATTATATACATTGAAGTACCTTATATCTATAAAAAAATATTCATTATACGCTATTACAAAAAAAAAATGCCATGTGATGAATAACTTGTACAAAGCAACTTACAATGCTAAAATGTCATGACAGCCTTAATGTAATTATTTCCATTACCATGTTTGCAATCATTGTATTATAAAATGCAAGTATTTAATCTGTACCCTGACCAATAAAATATGTATCTTTTTGTTTAGAAAAAAGCCCAATAAAGAGGCAAATAGCTAAAAAGCTGAGCTGTCTTAAAAAAAAAAAACAAATAAAAGAAATAAATAAATAAATAGCGATATCTCAGTACAACATGCTAGAGACCTCTATTTGTTATTAATCGCGAATTGTTATCTCATGGGACCATTTCAGTAATGATTGGTAAGATCAGTTGATCAGAGTCTAAGGGATGTAACCAGATATAAGGTACCTCTCTTTCTTTAATCCCGGTTACCTCCCCTTGTGTCTTGTATGTGTCTAGTGTTTGTACGTATCTTGTGGTTTTTTTTGTGTATCCTGTGTAAAACGTGTGTCCTGTGTAAAACTACAGGGGCGGACTGGGTGTTACTGGCCCGGGCATTTCTAAACAAATCGGCCCTTACATTGTATATTATATGATGGACATCCATTTCTAGGTCTACCTGTCCTCAAAGTGATTATGTTAATGTTGATAATGTATCGATAACTGAACGATAAGTACTAAAAGTGTGGTCCTAAAAGGATGAAGCCACTAGTAGCACTGTCTACAGATGTAGACTATTACATTATTTCGGAAAATGTGTTAGATTAAATTAGCATTATACTATAGAGTCTGTAAAGATAAAAAAAAACACAACGCCTTTTACAATAAAAATATTATTATTATTAAAAGTTTAATATATTCTATAGAGGCATTTATGAGACCCTTAAAGTGGCCCCACCGGCCCATTTTGGGTACCGGCCCATCTGGCATTTGCCCGAACGCCCATATAGCCAGTTCGCCCCTGTAAAAGTGTGTTTTATGTGTGTCCTGTGTAAAAGTGTGTCTTGTGATTGAATGTGTCCTGAGTAAAAGTGTGTTGTACTTGTGTGTGTCTTGTGTAAGTGTGTGTCGTGCATAAGTTTGTTTCCTGTATTGTGTTTGTCCTGTGTTTGTGTGTGTCCTGTACAAGTGATTGTCTTGTGTTTGTGTGTGTCCTGTGTAAGAGTGTG